AGCTTCTGCACAGCAGAGGAAACAATCAACAAAGTTAAGGAACAACCCACAGAATGGGTAAAAATGTTCGCAAACTACCCATCTGACAAGGAATTAATAACCAGATGTATAAGTATCTCAAATAATTCTATAGGAAAAATATAATAATCTGATTTTTAAAATGGGCAGGCCAGGCGCAGGGGCTCACGCCTGTAATCCCAGCACTTTGGGAGGCCAAGGTTGGTGGATCACGAGGTCAAGAGATCGAGACTATCCTGGCCAAAATGGTGAAACCCCGTCTCTACTAAAAACACAAAAATTAGCTGGGCATGGCATGCACCTATAGTCCCAACTACTCGGGAGGCTGAGGCAGAAGAATCGCTTGAACCCAGGAGGTGGAGGTTGCAGTGAGCCGAGATCACGCGCCACTGCACTCCAGCCTGGCGACAGAGCGAGACTCCGTCTAAAAAAAAAAAAAAAATCTGAATAGACATTTCTCAAAGGAAGACATACAAGTGACGAACAGGCATATATAGGTGCTCAACATCATGAATCATCAGAGAAATGCAAATCAAAACTACAATGAGATATCATCCCTTCTCAGTTAAAATGGCTTATGTCTGAAAGACAGGCAATAACAAATGCAGGTAAAGATGTGGAGAAAAAAGAACCCTCGTACACCGTTGGTGGGAACGTAAATTACTACAACCACTGTAGAGAACAGTTTGGAGGTTCCTCAGAAAACTGAAAATAGTTACCCATGTGATCCAGCAATCCTACTCTGGATATATACCCAAAAGAAAGGAAATCAGTATATTGAAGACATCTGCACTCCCATGTTTGTTGCCACTCTGTTCACAATAGACAAGAATTGGAAGAAGCCTGTGTCCATCAACAGATGAATGGATAAAGAAAATGTGGTACTTATACACAATGCAGTACTATTCAGCCATAAAAAAGAATGAGATCCAGTCATTTGCAAAAACATGGATGGAACTGGTGATCATTATGTTAAGTGAAGTAAGCCAGGCATAGAAGGAGAAAGATTGCATGTTCTTATTTACTTGTGGGTTCTAAAAATCAAAACAATTTAACCTGTGGAGATAGACAGTAGAAGGATAGTTACCAGAGGCTGGGAAAGGAATTGGGGAGGGCTGGGGAGAGGTAGGGATCGTTAATCAGTACAAAAAATTGTTAGAAAGAATGAAACGGACCTAGTATTTGATAGCACAACAGGGTGACTACAGTCAATAATAACTTAATTGTATATTTTAAAACAACTAAAAGAGTATAATTGGATTTTTTGTAACAGAAAGGATAAATTCTTGAGGAAACAGATATCCATTTTCCATGATGTGATTAATATGCATTACATGCCTGTATCAAAATGTCCCATGTATCCCATAAATACATACACCTACTGTATACCCACAAAAAATAAAAAATAAACAATTATTTTAAAAAGAAGAGTAATTGAACCTCTGATCATAAAGTTTCAAGTTTTATGCAATTACCAGACTCTACCATCTTAACAAGTCCTGTTTTGGGGCAAGGTGTATAATAATAAGTTAGATCTAGATTATATCATCTATTGAATTGAGGGTGCTTTCTATGTGTTATAATTCTCTTCTCTTTTTGTATTGGGAGAAATATTAAATAGGTGGAAACCAATCCAGATCCTGAACTCAAATCATGTAGGACTTTGGTCATTGAAAACATGAACCATTAATAGCTGTTATACTATTGGGATGTTCTGATCCCACATCAGGATGGTAAATCCGTATGGTTGATATGAACTCTAAGATATGATCATGCTGTTATCCCTAGGGTAACTTGTTCTATTGATCAAATTGCTTGGGCCAATAAATTATAAAATACTTTTATGAATAACTAGTCTAGTCCAGGTTTTAATCATTCAGAGGTTGTACGATACTCTGAAGTTACCCCAGCTGAAATTTTTAGCCCAGCAGATTAAATGTTATTCCTTTAAATAGTTAATATTTTGTTTGTGGCCTAATTAATTAAATCTCCATTGGGTCTTCTTGTTTTATCTCCCCATGAGAATCACTAAAGTTAGAGACTGACCATACCAAGCACTGACATGGTTGTGGAGGATGAAGCTCTGCTGAGACAATGAAAAATTGTACAACCACTTTGAAAACAGTTTGGCAGTTTCTTACAATGTTAGTCTTACATCTATAACATGTTCCAGCCACTGCAATCCCAAGTATTTACACTACAGAAAGAAAGCACATTTCTCTGTAAAGACCCATACACAAGATCCCCTAAATTGAATACAACCCAAATATCCATCAGCAAGTGAATGGACAAAACGAATTGTAGTATATCCTATACTGTAATGCTACTCTGTAATGAAAAAAAAAAAAAAAAACTATTGAAATAGGCAATAAAATGGATACATCTAAAAATACACAGAGTGAAAGAAAGAAGCCAGATCCCTTAAAAAAAAATCCTCTATGATTCTATTTAAATAAATGAAATCTAATCTATAAAGACAAAAGTGCTATATTTGTCTGGAGACAGGACAGTGGGAGGAATGGATAGGCTGGGTATAACAGAACTGAAAATGTTATGTCCTGGAAAATAATAACAATGATATTCAAGCCTATATGGTTACTTTAGGGGACATGGCAGGGTATCATTAGAATAGGGCAAACTAGATACTGAAGGACCAAGAGAGCAGAGTAGGAGATCACTTCCTCATCACTTCATCACTCCCCGCCACAAAAAAACAAATGTAGACAGCTATCCACAAACTAAAGTATTCATGGGAGGGCTCAGGGGTCCATTTAAGAATCTGCAGCAACACAGTAGAAAAAAAAAATGGGGAATATCCACACAGAAAATATTGCTGGTGAGATCAGTACACTTGAGATGCCAGGAGATGTCTAGGAGCAAAGAAGAAAGGCAAAGGCTATAGATATTAGCCATGTGGCAGGAACCACCATGGTCCACAGCAGTCTGCTCTGGAGAGGATACTGGCATCTTTTGCCACTGAGATAATCAACGGTCATTCCTGCCCAAGGAACCCCAGAGAGGGAGAAGAGGCTGCACACTTCTCATCTCAAGAAGCAGCAGCTATTGTACCACTCTGGGACCAGAGGTGCCACCTGTCCCAATCCTGCATGTGTCACTGACCCCCAAGCTACAGCTACTCTGTAAATACCAGACCTCAGCTCTGTGCCTCACTGTGCCTGCTCATGCCTCAGACACCAGAGCCACTGCCACAGAGACCTAGGTCATACCCTTGGCCCCTAAGCCAAGGTCATTTTGCACATGTCTGTACTCCAGACACCAAATTAACAACCACTGAAGGCTAGCCCATACTCCAGATCCTGGATAGGAAGAATAATCTCTAGTGTTCTATAGCATTATACTAAATTATCAAACAATAATTTAATGTATTTTTTCAAATAGCTAGAAGAGAGAATGTTGAATGTTACCAGCACGTATAAATGATAAAGATTTGAGATGATGGATATTCTAACTACCCTGATTTTATCACTACACATTGTATACATGTATTGAAATATCACAGTGTACCCCATAAATATGTATAATAATCATGTGTCCATATATAATAAAATATACATTTTTCAAAGTAAGACATACAAATGGCCAACAGATATGTGAAAAAATTATCAGTATCACTAATTATGAGGGAAATGCACATTAAAACCATAACAAGATATCACCTCACACTTGTTAGGATGGCTATTATTTAAAAAAAACAAAAGATGGTACGTGTTCACAAGGATGTGGAAAAAATGGAACCCTTGTACAATACTGGGAATGTAAATTGATACAGATATTAAAGAAAACAGTATGGACGTTCCTGAAAAAAACTAAAAATAGAATTACCAAATGATCCAGCAGTCCCTCTTCTGAGTATATATCCAAAGGAAATGAAATGAGTACCTCAAACAGATGTATGTACTCCCATGTTCACTGCAGCATTATTCACAATAGCCAGGGTATGGAATCAACTTAAGTATCCATCAACAGATGAATAAAGAAAATGTCTTACATGCACACAATGGAGTGCTATTCAGCTTTTTGAAAAAAGAAGGAAATCCTGTCATTTGTGACAACATAGATGAACCTGGAGGACATTAAGTGAAATAAGCCAGGTACAGCAAGACAAATACCACATAATCTCACTTGTATATGGAATCTAAATAAGTTGAATTCATAGAAGCAGAGAGTAGAATAGTAATTACTAGAGAGAGGCTGGGAAGGGGTTTGGGGAGATGGTGGTCAATGGATACAAAATTTCAGTTAGAGAGGAGGGATAAATTTAAGAGATCTATTGTACATCACGGTGACTATGGTTAGTAAAAATATATTGTACACTTGAAAACTGCTAAAAGGGTAGATTTTAAGTGTTCACCACAAAAAAAGGTACATTAGGTAATGCGTAGGTTTATTAGCTTGATTCAGCCATTCTACAATGTATAAAATATATCAAAACATCATATGACTTTTTAATTGACACTTTATAAATTATGGTTCATAAACAAATTTATTATACAACAGATATGGGAGAAGGCATATTATAATCTCAAATTGGTAGGAAGGCCTTCTAACTAACTGCATATTTCAACATTCATTGATGGTGCTGATGGGAATCACTGATTATTATTTATGCAGTCAGAAATATACATATAAGCTTATCATAAATGCATGTTAAACATAAAGTTTCTCCCTTATCTATACCGTAAGAAAGTTTGAAACAGAACAAGAAGAGGTCTGACTTCATCTAGGCATTGCTGATCCTGCAATAACCACAGGGCTACCTAACATCTTGCACCTATGTTATCACTGAAGGTTCCAGCAATCCTATGGGTGAGCATTTTTATCTCCAGTTTACAGAGTGGGAAACTGGGCTCAGAGAGGGTCTTTACCTTTCTCATCCTCCCGCGTCCCGCCTTTACATGGAAAGTAGCCCCGGGACACCCTGGAGCAGGACACCACGCTCACTGGGGCCAGAAGAGACCCACCTCTCTCTCTTTCACGAAACAGCCAGAGCGCCGATCTCCAAAGTGGGAACGAGGGGACGTCGATCTGGGGTCCTTTCGTCTCCCTAAACCCCACGGAGATTCAGCCCACACTGCTGGGCACTCACAACCTCCACCGAGTCCAAACGCCTGAAGGTGAGACACTGCTGTTCTACCCAGGCCAAATTGGTCTCATTAAAAAGTCGTCACCGTCGCTAATATGACGTCAGGTTACTATGGCAACCGCGTAGCACTGGCTTATCTTCCAAACCTGAAAATGTCTACACACAACCCGCTCCTCCATCCCCAGGCTTTCCCTTAAAGCAAAACACCTCCACTCTTCAGATAACTCCCTGAGAAAACATACCAATTAGAGGAACTAGGCTGGGATCCGGGCAATTTCCAAGACTCTCTACCCATTACGGCAGAGGAAAGTCCACGTTGTCAGGAATTTTGCTTTAAAAGTGACCTTAGGGGGCCGGGCGCGGTGGCTCACGCCTGTAATCCCAGCACTTTGGGAGGCCGAGGCGGGCGGATCACGAGGTCAGGAGATCGAGACCATCCTGACTAACACGGTGAAACCCCGTCTCTACTAAAAATACAAAAACTTAGCCGGGCGTGGTGGCGGGCGCCTATAGTCCCAGCTACTCGGGAGGCTGAGGCAGGAGAATGGCGTAAACCCAGGAGGCGGAGCTTGCAGTGAGCTGAGATGGGGCCACTGCACTCCAGCCTGGGCAACAGAGCGAGACTCTGTCTCAAAAAAAAAAAAAAAAAAGTGACCTTAGAGGAGTATCATCAGTACACAGAAGTCTAGAGAGGTGTCATAGGACTCTGGGAGATGAGCTAGCCCTCTGAAGAGGAACATGTACAACTCACACACTATGCTAGGCAGTTGGTTATCTGTGGCAGAAAACAGAGATATTGTTTATAATCAAGTGACTGAATGATCTAGAAACACAAAAACTGTCATTTGAGTAATAATACAGTTATTTCAGGGAGGCTGGACTAGAATAATATTATCATTTAGTAGGCAGGAATCCAGTCAATTAAAACACACAGTAGTTTGCCTTAAAGAAATTCTTTTTTTAAATTATGTTTTTATTTTTTTTTTGAGACGAGGTCTCGCTCTGTCACCCAGGCTGGAGTGCAGTGGCGCAGTCTCGGCTCACTGAAACTTCTGCCTCCCAGGTTCAAGCAATTGTCCTGCCTCAGCCTCTCGAGTAGCTGGGATTACAGGCGCTCACCACCATGCCCGGCTAATTTTTATATTTTTAGCAGAGATGGGGTTTCACCATGTTGGTCAAGCTGACCTCCATCTCCTGACCTTGTGATCCACCCTCCTCGGCCTCCCAAAGTGCTGGGATTACAAGTGTGAGCCACCGCGCCCGGCCCTGCCTTAAGGAAATTCTTATCCTTCATTCCTGGTATGTTTTTCCATGTGGAAAATACATCCATGACAAAAATACATGTAGCCTCTACACACTCACTCCTCTCTATGGCAGGAATGACTTATCGGATTGGAGAATCTGGAAGGAGAAACATGATACTCTGCCGAAGCCCTCTCCCTTCAAATTCTTGGTAGTAAGCTGCCCTTCAGGAGGCACTTGTTCAGCTTTGCCTTCAGGGATGGGACTTATAATAAGCCCACAGGTTTACTCCTCTGTGTCTCACAGACTCCACAATTATTCCTATCGTTCTTGATTCACAATGCTTAATTCTTTAAGGGGCCCCCAAAATACTCTTCTGCTTCTAGTCTGAGCTCTAAACCAACTGAGAAACATAGGAAAAGAATAAGGAGAAACATATATTGACTTTATCTCTTATAAGGTGATATTGGAGAATGTGACTTAGATTTGCTGTCACGTGGGCTTACTATAAGTTCTAGTATTGGACAGACTTATCCACCCAGCAGTGCTGCATTGGAATAGTCATAAAAACCAAGGACTGCAATGTATATCTATCCGCTGTCTCCTAAAGGAGCCCTGTCTATGTGTGCCCAAGGAAAGTTACTTCCTTGCCAAGGGTTATCACTATAGCAGGAGAAAGTGTTTCAGGACACTTTCTTTGAGAAACACTTCTAAAATTGATTAAATGGCCCTTGTTCAGAATAAATACTCACTAAGACAACCTCTCAGGTTTCCTCATAGAATGGTTTGTAGCAACACCCTCTCAGTATCTTAGTTCACATGATTGCAGTAGGAATTCATCTTATGGAGTTAGGTTTCAAATTTTAAGACCAGCATGAAAAATAGATATCATGTAAATTGCCCTTGGGAATCCCTTCAAGAAGGAATTGATAACAGGTTCAGAAATCTGTACCCACATGTAACCCAACAATCAGCTGATACAATTATAACCAAGTTTCACTAAGTCTTCAAGGATAAGAAAATCCCTTTCTTATCCAATGATAACACATCACAGAAAACGAGGGAAAGTTCATCAAAACCATAATGTTTTAGATGTCCATTCCTTCTTAACAAACACCCCCAATTAATAGCCATTTATTTTCTCTCAGTATTTTGTGTGTTAACTGGGCCCAGCTGGATGTTTTCTGCTCTATGTGATGTCTGTCACCTGGGGCTGCAGTCATCTGGAGGTTCCACTCATCTGGGACATCTGAGAGAGCTCACTCACATGAATGATGACTGGTGTTGGCATCTGCTGGGAGCTCAGTTAAGGCTGTTGACCTGAGCATCTTGGCTCTCCACAGAGCCCTGCATATGTACAGTTACCAGATTAAAATGAATTCAGTTAACTTTAAATTCCAGATTAATAGGAATATTTTTTAGTTTATGTGGCATGCAGTATTGGTTTATTTAAAATTAAAATCCAACTGGGTTTTCATTAAATAAATAAAAGTAAATGAAATAAATAATAAATAAAATTTTTAAATCGTCTTATTATTTCCTAAATCTGGCAATTGCAGGGGATGATCCTGTGAATCTGTAAGTTTAATGACCATCTGAGCTGGTTCTTCCAATGGGACAGGTCTGGGGAAAATGAGATCGGATTGCAATAAAGACAAAAGTTGGTAATACTTGGCGTTGGTGGAATGAAAAGCCAGCAGACGCTCACATATACTGTTGGTGCCAAGTGGATGTATCTGTTTTCTAAGGCTCATATAATAAGTTAATGACATTAATGATCTTTGATGCAAAAGTCCTGTTTTTCCACCAACAAGGGAGTTTCAGCTGAGGGTTTAGAAAAGACTCATCAAGGTGACTACGATGTACGCCCACTTAAGGGGCCCTGGCTGAGGTGGCAGATCAGAGCAACATGAGTTCCCTGCTTGGAGGAGGAAAGACAGCTACTATTTTGTAAGGCAGATGGTTTAGCTGGGCCCAGCTCCAGTTTCTTCACATTAGTGTCTGGATTTAATCTCATGACAGCTGTGCTAGTGAAGTACCAGTATCCTGTCTTCCTCATGAATGTCAGTGACTATAAACACATGCTCCTAAACACAGAGCTGAATGGCAAGGAGGTTACTCACCAGGCCCACTGCCAGAGCCAGGAATAGAACCTGCCAGCCTGGGCACCTTGAGTTGCTGGTGATAGACCTTTAGCAAATGTATCCAGACATGTACTGTTAAGGAGGTTAATCTCTGTGCTCCTTGCTTACCCTCCCTGCAGTAGGGTTGGTGCCCCCTCTCCTTACCTCAGGGGAGGTTTGTGAGAGGGCTGAAAGCAGAAGCCTTCTGGAGCCAGTGTTTCTTCCATCCTTTATGAAAACTTAATTTGTTGAAAGGACTGGGCTGCTTGTACCTGGTAGGGAAGTGGGAGCCTCTCAGGACACAAAGATGGGAGAGGAAGGAAGATTTCTCCCAGACTGGGATGAGGTCTGAGGTCTACAAGTCTCTCCAGGAGTTGGAACCTGAGCATTGCTCTATATCAATGTTTGTGGTGAATGAGTGGATGGTCCTTCGAGGCTGGGCATCCATCCATGATTCAGATTTGATTTTCCTGTTTTGATCCAGGGGTAGATGACTCAGGATCTGGGGCATGAAGGCATCGGGCCAACTAAGGAAATGGTCATCTCAGCCCTGAGCAGTGAGGACACATGAGTAGTTACAGCAGGAGACTCTTGAGGCCCTATCAGGAGGATACATTCCCAGAAGTGGAACTGTTTTGTCAAAGAGCATGACCATTTAACATTTTTAATGCTTCCTATCTAGTTGAACTTTAAAATCTCTTTAATAGTATATATTCCATCCAACAACAATTTGAAAACATCTGTTTTTCCTGATCTGTGCAAACAATAGGTTTCACATATTTTTAATATTTTTTATTCTGAGATCCTGTTATTGGCACATTAGATTTTATTTTTCTCTATTGTATTATGTTTTAAATAGTGTATTTCACAGGTGCATTAAAAATGCTTAGCTAATGGTTCCACATTATACCTTAGAATATGTCTTGGAATAATTCTAGAGTTTGAAAAGAAAACCCAATCATCAAGTTTGTGTTTACATTGCATCCTGTTTGAATTGAAATGTCGGGGCCAGGAGAACCCTATACATAGCTTGGAGTGGACAAATTGGTACAACTTCTTTGTGGAGATACTGAGCAGCACCCACAATAGAATCATGTGAGGCTCTGTCAGCTGTTGCTCTCTCAGATGTGCATTGCAGAATCTTGGCACATAGCAAACCTGTTCACAGGAGCATGGGTAAATATCAAAATAGTCCCAAAGTCACCTGATTAGAAACATCTCAGAAACACTATTTTCAGAGGAAAACATTTCAATAATTGACATATAAATGTTACTTATATAGTTAGAGATAAAAATATGCAAAGCAATTTTGTGTTTTGTTTAGGGATGTATTCATGACTAAACAAGAAATTTTGGATAGTGGTTCCTTCTGGGGGCACTGAGGCAATCAGGGAACTCACACACGAGAGTCCACTCTATAATATTTTGTTTCATAACCTTGGTTGTGTACGTGTTTGCCTACTATCATATTTATAATACCTTTCGAAAAGTTTGAAATCAAATTTGACATGAACAAAGTTCTAATATGTTGTATCTCTGATTAATAAGTAACCCATTGTCTATTTAAAAAATGTGGAAAGTGCATTCAAATACCAATATGAATATCGATAACATTTAATCCCACCATGTACTAACAAAAACTGTAATTATGTTTCCACCAATTATCATCTATACACATGTGTACATGTAAACAAAAATACTGTGTATGCATTGAATATGAATTTAACTTAACTGGAATGTATTAATTTATTGTAGGTGTGTAACCACAGACTTAGTGTCTGAAAGCTACATCCATCTAGTAGCTCACAGGTCGGTAGGTCAGAAGTCTGGTCCAGCATGACCTTATTCTCTGCTCAAGGTCTCACAAAGCTAGAATCAAGGATCCTGTGTAGGCTCCGCTGAGGTCTCATGTGGATGATCTGGTAAAAATCTGCTTCCAAGATCATTCTTGTTGCTGGCAGAAGTCATTTCCTCGTGGCCATTGGACTGCAGTCCCCATCTCCTTGATGACTGTCAGC